TATATATTAAAAAATTTAGTATGCATGTTTGTATGTATGTATATATGTATATGTATATGTCTCTATGCATGTGTGCATGTATGTATTTAGGTAGGTAGGTAGGCAAGTATGCATACGTTTGTGTGTATATGTATATATGTGTACATTTGTACATGTTTATCATGTATATGTATATGCGTGTATGTATAATGTGAAAAAGTAGCTATGAGAAGACATTTCATTTTGCTAATGAACAATCAAGAAATAGAGCAGTGATAATGTCTGTCCCGCTAGTCACGTCAGAGTAGGCAGATCACCTCATCATTTCTATTTCTCTATAATTCATCTTGCTAAATGAACTAACAACTCATATCCAAGATTCTTTGTGTGAGTGTCTGCGCACACATGCATGTGTGACTTGGTATGTATATAGCTTGCCTCTGCAGTCACAGTTATATCAAGAAATGTTCCGACGAAGGGCATAGCATTAGCATTGGTGACTGTAAGATGAATCTTCTCGAGCTCTGACAGAATTTTCAGTAGAAGTCCTTTTTGATTCTCGCAGTGGATTCGCAGGAGAACTGTTTTCTGATATAACCTTATTTGAATTTCTGGAGAGAGATCCCCTGATGGATTTTGATTCGGCTTCTCATCAGAGCGGGAACATATTACTAATGAACTTCCTCCAGTTGAACTGTCATTGTTATTTGTAGAGAGAGTGTGGTCTTTATTAATGGCCACAGACTCGACTATCTTTTTTGTTTTCTGATCTTGGAGGGATTTCAGAGTCTGCTCGAGCTCTGTAACGTACTTGACCGCGTCTCCAAGAATTGAAGCCTTGTCAGCCTGCCAAATATAATTTTGAAGTCAGGGCTCAGTTATGCAATGTTAATGGAAAGATATATGTTCAGTATAGAAATTTTAACCTAGCTTCGCTAGGTAGAAAATATCATTTGAAGTTCCAAAATGTTGTCTAGGTTCTAGATTTACACCTGTCAAATGATTCTATTACAAAATGTCAAAAAAAAAATGTTACTATTCCTACATATCAGTCATAAAATTGTATCCTTCTGTGAAGGGAATTGTTGGTATTTATTGTGTGATAAGCAATATCGACCTACAAAATCTAAATATGAACTTTAATTTTCGCAAAACAAGAAATAGGCCAATGAACTTCATTTGGTTTCCGTTACTCATTCATCTTCTTTGGATCGTTTGCTACTTCTATTAAATATTCATCAACTCCAAAGGGGTTTCACTATGATAGGAGAGCCGTTACTACGGGTCCAAGGAGTGCCAAGAGTAGGTATTTTATTGCCAAAATGAGGAGAAGATGAATCTTCCTACCTTTCAACACATAATTATCAAAAAACTATAATATATCTAGCCTCCCAAAAGTACATGAGAATACGGAAAAAAAAAATAATTTTATGTAGTTTTACATATATATAATTATATGCTTCTCTTAAGGACACATGTACATGTTCTCATGTAAAAGCAAACTGAAAGTTGAACTATTATTTCATGCATAAAATCTCTCTCTCTCTCTAACTCTCTCTCTCTCTCTCTCTCTCTCTCTCTCTCTCTCTCTCTCTCTCTCTCTCTCTCATGCACACACGGTCTACATGTAAAAGCGCATATTCGAATTGCTTTATGTTTGCGTACGCCCAACAAAAACTAAATGTCATGTATTCACTTTATGATAACTGGATTCATATGCACATAGCTGAAAATGATAAGCAACTTAATTACATGCACCTAAGTGAGAGCTTCTGACTTGGGAATCAAGCCGTTTTCAAAAATTTATGAGAGGAATATTGAGTAAGTTTCATGAAAAACTCAAGGTAATCATCAACATTGTTGTTTGTGTTCTTTATTAATTATTAAAAGGAGAGATAATTAATATCCCTTATATTTTGCATTAAAAGGTTTCATTCGGAGATCTCAGAGCATTAATGAGCAATTAATATCATACTCCACAGTAGTTGTCATCTTATAATTGTTTATCTAGCATTTTGCAAAATTAAGTTTAAGGATGATGGATTATGCAAAAGTATCAAGCTCGTTAATTAGCACGTTTTACATGAGCTATTCCCTAATTTCTACACTTCCATTAGTTTCACATGAACTGAATACTAACTCCATCTAAGTTGTTTAAATAGAGGAAAATTAAGCGAGAAAAAGATGGACATCCACTCCGATACCAAAAAAGAAGAGGAGCGCATAACGTACCAGATGATGAATAAGTATCTTCTTTTCTGAGTTTATTTCGAAACACTAATTAAGGAAATCAAATTAGAGAATCTAAATTGTATTGTAAGTAAAAGATCAAATTAGAAAAATTTCCAACAATAAAACCATTAAAAAAACATCTATATCAATGTGTTCCTCAAACAATCTTTTAGTATTCTTTAGAAATATCAGAAAAATTCATTCCTTAATTTTACCTTCTTTAATCCAGGGATAACCGCTGCAAGCGCTATAAAACGCTGGCTAAGCTTCTCCCTCCTCTTCCTCTCTGCGATAATATGCTCATGAGCATGAGCCGGCCTCAACCCTTGGCTACTACTACTCTTCAAACCTTGATCTTGAATTGAATGAAACCCTATCGATATCTCTTCTTTCGGCACCAAGTTAATCGGAAGTTGCTCGACACAAGAACTCCAACTTATCATCTTTGGGATTTTCTTCGGCCTTTCTTGAGAGTATGTTATCTTGGGAGAAGCTTCAATTGGTGAGCAAGTAGAGAAAGAAGTGAGCATAGGCTTCATAATACAGGGATTGATGGAAATATTTTCAGCACTCTCTGTGGGGTTAAGTAGTTGGAAGTCATGATCTCCACTAATATTTGCAGGCAATATCTGCTGCTGATTTAGATAGCTCAACTGATTCCATTGGTTGGCAAAGCTTGATGGATCCATACCCTAAATTAAGAACTAATTGTCTGGAAAATAATTAAAGAAACGTTATATCAGTAATTATGAGTGCATCAAATCTTTGAAAATCAAAAAAGTATTGAGTGTTTACATTTGGATCATGCATGTAATAAAGAAATAATAAAGATTCTCTAATAGCCAGTTGGAAGTACAAGTAAATGGATCATGCATGTAATAAAGAAATAATAAAGATTCTCTAATAGCCAGTTGGAAGTACATCAGACTAAACTGATTCAGTGTTCTAGCTTGCTGTGCATATAAATCATCAAAAACCGATATTTTTTTCCCTTCATACCAGAAGCAAATGAAAAGATTCAAGCATCATGAGAAAACCCTAGATTTGATGCTAAATCTTGCTTCAAATTTAAACAAAACCCATACCATTTGGGTAATCGAAATCCATAGATAGTATTTGTTTAGAACTAAATCTGAAAAAACCATGAAAAACCTAGATGTTATAAAAAGGAGGAAGATGATTCAAAAGAAAGGAAAGAATTAAATACCCACCTCTGTTAGAGCCTCAAGCCTCCTCCTCTCTCTTGCTCAAGTCTCAGAGCCAGCTTTTGTAAACTTGATCAGTTTGTCTTATCTAGTAATTAATTAATTATACCCACTAAACTTTGGTGTGAAAGTTCTTAACACTGTTCACATGGAGGCGTTCGACCGTTTTATCTTTGAAGGGCATCGACCTCTCTCTCTCTCTCTCTACAATAGTATATGATTATAAGATGAACCAAATGCTAATTACTTGTAGTACCCAATGTTATTATAATGCCCTCTCCCTTTCTCTACAATATATTATAAGATATGGTGAGATGGATGCTAGCTAATTAATTATGTTACTCAATTTGATTTCTCTATGATTATCATTGCTATCGCCGTTTTCCACTAATTCTACCCTAAACTAGAGGCAAATCATTCGCTAGAAAGTTTAGGAGATTTTGTTTTTATACATCTACAAAGTTATTTGCTTTTTCGCCCATGCATATATCCTTAAAATTTTTATTAATGCCCCATAAGTTACTTTTTGAATTCATAATTACAATTTTAATATCACGAAAGCATTTTACCACTTTTTTTTTAAAAAAGAAAAGTTTTAACGTTTTATTATGGGTTGCAAACTCATCCCTTGATGCATTCATGAACACAGAATGGAACTTGTTAGCTAGCTATAAGCTAGCTAACTAATTACTTGTAAGTACTTGTTACATAAAATTTATAGGAGCTTCTTCACCCCCATGTTTTAATCTAAAAATGTTAAGAGGGACTATAATCTGATGGCAAACAAGTTTTAGATCATTTTATATGAAAATAGCTAGAAAGAAATTCAGGAAGTTAATATCAAATAAGCCCAATACAAACTTATATGATTAATATTAATAAGGGAGGGCGTTTGGTTCATGTTTTTGGAGAGAGAAAGTAAGGGAAAAGCTACAAAAATGTCAGCTTTTTGGCAGCTTTCCCCCAAAATCACCTCTTTAAGAGGCGATTTTGGAGGGAAGCTGTCAAAAAGCTGACATTTTTGACAGCTTTCCCTATTTTACAGCTCCAAAAAATCAATCCAAACGGGCCCATACATTCATAATAGAAGTCAGCATAGACTAATTAATGCCTTTACAATCTTACTCCGACAACCACACGTGCGTGCAAAAATTTAGAACTTACAATTAATCGCAACATATATTAATTTATAAATTTTAGTCCATGATGATGATGATGATGTTCAGAAATGTGACTCAGCAAGGATACAGTAATGTTTTATTAGATGATGATGATGATGTTTAAAGACATTTACCCACACGTAACACAAGTTGAAAGCTTTCCCTCCAAAATCGGCATCTCCATGACTTCTATTTCTCATCATCTAGAACGTCAACTAGTGTGACTTTAGTAGCATTAACACGTGCTCCTTAATTATTGGTAGTTTGCTAAGTTTTGAGCATAATAAAGCTTGATATTCCTTTCCCATGCTATTCACATAGATATGAAAGCAAATCACTTTTCAGAAATCAACAGAAGAATTTATAACATCGTGTTGAAAAAGTTCCAGTCTTACCTTCCAGCTTTGCTTTGAATAATGACTAGTATTCTACCCGTGCGATGCCCGGGACTTTGTTAAAACAAAATTTTCAATACTCGATCGTCATATTTTCTTTCACAATATTAAAGTTTTTTTTTTAGCTTCATATATCCCCGGCAATTTTCTCTACTTTTAACTTTCATATCTCAAAGTTTTCTTTTTTAAAACAATATAAAAAAGTTTGTCTTATTTTTGACTTTGAATTGGTAGCCGTAACCAAAAAATAACTCAAAGTTCCAACGGAATTGAACTTTTGTTAGATAGGAAACAAAATTGAACTTCGACATCTTAAACTTCAGCAAACATTTAACTTGGATATACCATGCTCAGAATTTTAACAAAAAGTTAGTCTCATTGATACAATAAAAAATAAATGAATCCTAAAAAAATGAATCTTACAATAAAAGTCAAAACTTAAAAATAGACCCAATGAACCATACAAATTTTTTTTTAAACATACTCAAGTAGATTCCTTTTCATTGAGAAGAAAAGCCCCAATTTGAGATCACATTGACTTATTGAGTCAAATTTAACAAATTTAACAATCACATTCAATATGATTTTATGAAAAATTCTAAAATAAAGAGCACAGAAAAAAAGATTATGAGGACTGGCTGAGAGAGAGTAGAACTCCTTTGGGGGGGTTAGTCACCTAGAACTTTTTAAGTAGAACTGGGATAATTGGTAAAGTGGGATAATATTTTGACACTGGGATAATTTAGTGGAACAATGATGGGTAATTCTTAAAGTGGGATAATTTGGTAGGATAATTTGGTGGGATAATGATGGATAATATTATGAAGTTGTATAATTTGGTAGGATAATTTGGTGGGGGTAATGGTGGGTATAAATTATTATTGTTAATAATTGTATATTAAAAATAATATAATACTGATAAGCAAATTCTAGTAATAACTATAAAATATAATGCAATAAAGCATCACTATTCATCTCAAATAATAAAATAATTTACAAATAAATAAAAATCTAAATCCCTAGAGTGACTCGACTTCCATCATTCCACATGACTTCTATCATCCCACACGACATCTGCCATAGAATTTCTCAAAGCTCCTACAGCTGCTCGTTGAGTCTGTATCTCGTCTTCTTTATCGGAGTCATCGTCTGCATCAGCAACATTTCCTGGAGCTTCTAGTGGAGGATCATAAATGTCGAAGTTCAAATCTCATAACATCATAAAGAAAAAAATAAGCATTTTCCAGCCATTAACCATTTAGACCAATCTCATCATGATCGCTAAAACCAAATCAGCAAATAAATGAAATGTACACAGGAATCATCCATGGTCGCTAAACAGATGATCGACAGATGAACTATAAATATCACAATCAATTTACTGAGCCGATTTAATAGTAATAGATATCACCATTAACCATTCAACATCTAATCATCAATGTGATCGCAAAATTGCTTTCTAACTTATTTCTAACTTATAAAAAAACATAAATAGCCTGCATATCTTTAGCACTAACCCACCAACACTATTTTCTTAACCTAAACCACTGTTGTGGAGAGGCACTAACCCACCAACACTATTTTCTTAACCTAAACCACTGTTGTGGAGAGAAAACTTAGATCAAATAAAGTAATTTAACGTCAAAAAACTATCAATAAAGTAATACATTTTGAAGATAATAATAAAAGATCTAATCATCACAAAAACAAAGTAAAGACAGAAAAATAAACGGATGATTGACTTCATGGTAGAGAAATTTTCTAGGCAGAGAAACTAACCAAGAGGGAGGGAGGTGGGGTTTTACTTTTTTTTCCAATTGTATTCTTTCCAATGTGTGGGATAATTTGAGAGAGGAGAACTTATGGTTATATATATAGGTAGTATAATTTGTGGGATAATTATGATTAATTATCCCAATTCTAATTCTAGTAGAATTCTACTTGACTAACGCACTAAAAAAATAATACAGTTCTAGTTCTACAAAAGTTCTACTTGACTAACACTATAAAAAATATCACATTTTCTAGTTCTATGTGACTAACACCTTAAAATTTTATCCCACAAATTATCCCAGTTCCAGTTTTAAGTTCTAGATGACTAACCCCCCTCAAGGAATATTTGTTAAGTAATTTTCAAATTCAAAATTTAATCATTTTGAGATCTTCTTAAGATATGACATGTCTTAAAAACTGAAATCTTTTTGAAATTCAAATTGATTTGTCCATGATTTAAGGAATTAGTTGCTTTAAAAATTTGAAATATAAATCTGTTTATAATTTTTCTCCATATATGTTAATAAATATTGGCATATTCTTAGGGGGTGTTTGGTTCAAATTCTACAATTTATAGGAAATATTTTCCATCCAAAATATGATTTCCTTGTAATTCTTTAAAAAATTATAGGAAAAGTTTTGAGAAGTCAAAAAGTACCAATTTTCTTGTTTTTTTTACTTTACTTGTTTGGTTCAAAACAAGAAAATGACCAATAACTTTATAGAAAATAGAAAGATTTCCTATAATTTGTAGAAATTGAACCAAACACCCCCTAAATTTATAGAAAAGTGTCAACTTTATAGAAAAGTGTCAATTTGGTGTTAAATTTCTAGATGATTTTCGCCTATTTTCACTAGTAGAAAAACGACCAACCTAGACGAAAATTTCCGTCTAGGTTGGTCTACAATCCGTCTAGGTTGGTTCATCTAGACGGAAATCCGTCTAGGTAGATTGGTTTATTCTGTTTCCGTCTAGTTTGGATCAAACTAGACGGATTTCCGTCTAAATTGATCAATCTAGACGAAAACCAACCTAGACGGAAGTAGCATTTTTTTTTTTTTTTTTTTTTTTTTTTTTTTTTTTTTTTTTTTTTTTTTTTTTTTTTTTTTTTTTTTTTTTTTTTTTATTTTTTTTTTTTTTTTTTTTTTTTTTTTTTTTTTTTTTTGCAGAACCCACATTGCATGCTATATAACATCACACGTACACAATATTACACAACACCAAATCATATTCATATCCAACACAATCGATCTAATTATATTTCAATATCAAATATAATTATATTCAAATAATACATTCACCAAAAAACTAGAAAGATACATAAATTTTTTACATAGATTATAAAGAATACAATTGTTTACATAACTTGATGAACTTCGCATAATTTATAGAATCCAATTGCATTTACTCCTCCAATTTGTTGAAGCATCATGTTTCTTCCTCTTTGATCCTACATTATACAAAATTTAACATCAATTAGTCCATATCATGAAATACACTTGCAATTTGGTGTTGTCAGAATAGGATTTTCAGAAAAAGCTTCCAAATAGATAGTTATGAGCAGACATGAACATCAACTTCTCACCATGCATTTGAAATATAAAATATATATATAAAACATATAAACTATGAAAAAGAATGAGAGAAACTAGAGTCCTACCCCCTAATCAACAACTCTATTTCAACTATATAACATGTCTTGCCACAAACTATCTTAC